CTGCGGGGAGCTCTGCAAAAAACGCATCTTCGCACGGGCAGCCCGTGCGTTGGCCATTTATTAAGTTTTGCAGTTAAGGAAAACAAGTCCTGAAAAAAAACCACCCAGAAACACGCATCGCGGATGCGTTTGTAATCAAACTTTCACGCATCGCGGATGCGTTTATGGCTGATACCACATCGAGAATCAGGTATGAGTAGAAAAAAAAATCGAACTTTTTACGCTTACTTTTTATCAAGTTTTTTAAAAAAACGAACTTTTTGTGTAACTTTTTATGTTACTGTTGCTTGATTTGACGGGTTAGCTACTACACTACCAGCTGTATGCGCTCACTCGTATATTTCTGGGCCTTTTTGGTAAAACAAAAATGCATTTTTTTGCCTAAATTCCTGTGCGAAATTCAAAATCAAACTGACATAAATTTTCATGCATCTACATGCATTTTTCTGAGGTAATCTAATGTGAAGAAACAGTTTTAGGTAAATGAGGAATTTATGCATATGCGCCAGTGCTATCGAAATAAGTATACGCAGCTGCGGCTTGAAAGCGGCGCTTACGTTTTAAAGCAGCGTACCTTATGAATAGCAAAATAAATGAAAAAATTCAACGACGAATTGAGGTATCCAAGCGCAGTGAACCAGTGAAACAGAATCTCCAAATGTTCTGGCCAACTGCTGTACATTAGTTTATATACTTTCACCATATTCAGCGTGAAAAATGGCAACCAACAAGCCAAAAAAGCAACTGAAAATGTTTTCAATTCTGAATTCGATGAGAAAGAACACCTTTATCCCCCTTCCACCAAAGTAAAAAACATTGAACGTCCTTGAAAAAGCAATGTTAATTTGGTACTAGTGCTCAGGAGTTACAATGCACAACAAATAATTAGGTGTGATACTCGTCTGTTTTCATTGAATTTTTGCCCGCATCAAGTAAAAGTGAATGAACAAGGAAATGCCGTTTTAGGAATCACTGTTACCATGCGAGAAAGTAAAATCCGATGGGCAGAGCACGTTGCTCGCCCTATCGACAGTCGATGAATGTCACATATCAGTGAGTTTGTACTCGCAAGAATCAGGCGCTTTTCAAGAGAGTGTTGCATAATATATCGAGCAATCCTGCGTAGTAATTGAAAATATGTAACTGAGCATATTGTAGGGCCTCAAACATATGATGTATATGATGTATGCAGACATCGCTAACATGGAATATTCACAATGATTGTTCAAGCTAGTGTTTTTAGCATTAAAATGAAAGGCGTAATTCGCTGTGTTTTACTTCCATTATGTTTTGCACGTAATGAAGTATTTTTTCCAGTCCCAGAAGAGTTTAAAAAAGTTTTGCAGTTAGAAAAGGGGAAAAAACATTTGGCAATTGTTTCTTAATTAACAATGCAAAATTTCTAGTTGGGTGGCTTTCTGGCAACGTTTTGTTTTAATTTTGCAGTGAAAGGACGCACAATGGGTATTTGAAACTAAATAATTAAAATAATGAGCAATTGGATATTTCTTGCAAAAGAAAACGTTGAAATCCCTCAACTTCCGCTCTCTAAGAAAGCTAGGGCACTCTGTGTTTGCCCGTGCGATAGCAACTGCCAATAGTAATCATCTGCTGGAAAGACTGTCGATGATTCCTTTCTTCGAGAGTTACTTCAAAGCACTGGTTGATCCCGAATCATTCACAGAGTATTAAAAGAGTGAGTCTCAAAAAGGGTGTTTTCGCGAAAACATTAGTCTTTTTTTTAATATTTTGTAAGAGGCGCACCCTCATCGGTGCTGCTCTTACAGCAATTTTCTCTTGACTTACCAAGCCAAAAAATGAAAGTCTTCTGGATAATTCTTTGTTTGTGAGACGTGGAAGCACTTGGAAGTAATTCGAATGGTACCAACTGCCAACAGCAACCACCCGCTGGTAAGGTTGTCGGCGGCTTCCATAGGTTATTTACAAGGCTGTGGATATTGATTTGCAGTAATGTGCAAGAACATGTGTATTTTTCAAAGGCAAATTTTTGGACTAATTCTTAACCCGCATGGGTGGCTCAAATACTCTATGTCGCCTGGCAATTACACCCTGTGCAAAAAGCCCTTTCAACAACTGCTGGCTTTTCGTGACTTCCGTGACAATGCTTGCAAATGTAATGAAATACCTAAAACAACAGCAACTAATTTTGTAGCTCGTTTCTCTCTTCGTATCGCTCCTCCCTGTCTGAGCCGCAATCTTGCAACGAGATCCAAAGCCCAGTTCTGCAAAAAGTGCCATAAATGGTACTAGAAGTATTTAAACGACAAGAAGTTCTTGCAAAGATTGTGCGAAACTTTTAGCCGAGTGTAATTCGGCCTTGCTTTTATTGGGTTCAATAATGAAAATTATTTAAAGTCAGATACTAAGTTTTGTTATTAGACTTTAACAGATCTTTGAAGATGCTATTCAAAGACTACAGATAATGGCCAAGAGGCGAGGTATACTGGAAATATTAATGATTGAAACGTGTGATATTTATAAAGTAACAATAATTTGGCTGAGAAACGTTTTGGTGCACCGAATAGCATTCGTCTAAATGGCAAGTTACTTATTAGGTTTAAGTAGAAGTATAGACTCTATTCAAAGAGTGCATGTTAGCTGATAGTTGACAAGACCACTCTTCTGGAGGTCCTCTGAAGCTTTCTTTTTTTTGCGCATTTTTCTAGGATCTTCAAGGCTCTCGATTCATGCTTAGTGCTACAATTTAATGTATCAGTTACTGAAGCGAATAGCAAAGAAACCTGGTGAAATTTCGAGTAAGGTTGACATTGCCCTTTTTTTAAATATCATAAATGCTACTGTGCCAAAAGAAAACGCATGAAATTTAATGTACACCCTTCTTTTCTTCATTTTTTTTTCAAATTCTCGATAATAGTTTGATTCTTGAGCTCTTCTTTGGTTGTTTGGAGCAAGTTCTTGAGGGATGTACCAAAAAGGAAAATTTATTTGCACTGGTAGCCTTAATCCACCATTATCACGAAAGCCTAATTCACTATTACCTTGAGACCAGCGAGTTTACGTTTTGCACAGTAGAACGATTCTCGATGTGCCAGACTATAAAAACGTGTAAAATCTGAGATCGATGAACGTCCGGCCCGTTCCCATTCAATTATTATTGAGGATAAGCGTCTCATTTTGCTCCTGCTTATCTGAAATCATAATACAGTAACATTGCGAAACATAAAAAACTTCTTTAAAGTTTTTCCTTATGGAATACCATTAGGTTGATAATATACTTCAGGAGACGAAAGAACTCCAAGCATGCTAACATGCTGGCCAAAAGGTGATGTAACATTAGCTAAAATGAATAAAAAAATTTTCAGTTGCATAGTTGAAGAACCATGCAATGAATTTCAGCTGAAAAGGTATTAAAATATATTGAATCTCATTCTCGAATTTTCGAATTTTTGCTAAATTTTGCATAAATGCCGGTAATTGTACAGAACTTAGCTAATTAAGGTGCCTACATAAAAGTGCAAAAAATACGAAAAGTGCCTACACAAACAACAAAATCAGGAACAAAAGCTTAAAAATTACAAATGCCAATCGTACTTAAAAATCCTGCAAACGCATTTCGGTATAGCTGAAAAAGCTGCAAAAATGTTTCAAAAAAATTTGAAAAAAAAAGACCTGAGGTGCTTGAAGTGAACTGCTCTTTTTTGACGCAACTGGTAACGAACGACGTGGGCAGAAGAACTGCTTACTGTTCAAATAAGCAATGCAGTCGTGGACGCTTTTTCGCTCATAAAACGGCAATGTCAGTATCTCGGAGCAGCTGCGGTGTATCCTAAAAAAACCAACCCAAAATACATCTTTTAAGATAATTTTAGACATTACAGGACATTGGCGGAGTTACTTTGGCGTTGTTGGCTGGGTCAAGTTAACGTCATTAAAACCTTGCTAGCGAAGACTCTTTGGAATTTCACCTTTGTTGTGATTCCAGATCATCTTTTGAATTTTTTTCGAAACTCGACGACGAAGCAACAACAGCATCAGGAACAGTGATAGCATCAAGAATAACTGACGGTGTTCGCGACTCATCGCAACTGGAACCCTCTGATTCGTGCACTTCAAATATCGTTTGCAACTGAAAAACTAAAAACTGCAATGTATTTGAACTTTCTAACTAATGATTTCAGTGAATTTTCAACTGAATTGTACATATAAAAATTGAGGACGAAGAAGGGGAAAGCAAATGAAAAAAAGAAAGAAATGGGAAATGGTACAATTACAATTTATAAATAAAACGTTTTGATCCATTAATTAGTGAATCGCGCTTTAAATACAGCTGTGTTTCGACGAAAACATTTTAATGCTGTTATAGCGTTTGCAAATATAAGCATTTAAGGTGTGAGGATATGTTTAATTTGTACCGTTCGAAGTTATTTTACTGTTATTTTAGAGTTCTTCTAAATGGGGTTTTGGGGTTTTTAAATTCTTATAAAGTAAATGGGTTTCTGGGGTTCTAAATGGGGTTTTTAAATTCTTATAAACTAAACGAATTTTAAGATTTTTCCAACTCGCGTATCTCATACAACTAAAAAAAAATTAAAGGATGAGAAAGATCAATTTAAATATCGTGTGCAACAAAAATGTATTAGGAAGCAGTTCCTGTCTCACCCCTTAGCTGTAAATACAGACATAGCGCAGCGCCCAGGGAGAAGTGGAATGGGAATCATCAGTACAGCAGCCTATCCGTTATGCAAGTGAAGAGCATAAAAGCTGTTTAGTACCGTTTTTCTTTTGCAGTCTGTCTCATTAAGGAAACGTTGTTCCGGTGTCTGTGGATAAAACCAATAATAATTTTTCTTTTTTCTTTGATACTGTAAGTGAAACTGGACAGAATGCATTAGGGACAAGATTCGAAATTACGTTTTTGCCTAGCCCCTTCCTTTTTTTATTATAAGTCTGTTTTGAGAGCAATGCGGATTCCATCAATTTTCATAGGATTTCATCTCTTCTCTTTTTTTTTCTTACGTCGATTTTTGACGGCAGTGTGGATTTTACCAATTTTGTCTGCATTCCATCAATTTTGTCTGTATTCCATCAATTTTGTCTGGATTAATTTTAACTGGATTCCATTATATTTGACTGGATTTCATCAGTAGTGCTGCTTTAGATATGGCAGCA